TTCAGCAGGGGATGTTCTTCCTGGCTTTGTGTCAGACCGGAACCTTGGGGCAGTGGTGACGGACTTCTCCCCTCTCAGAGAGCCACTGCAGTGGTTGGAGGACATTAAAAAGAGGCTTACCAAGGACATTCCCCTCATACAGGTACAAGCTCAGAGATTTTTCTCTCGTCTTTCACTGATTATTTTCTTAATTTCTTTGATTTGTCATCATCACATTGGTAGCATTGGTAACACGTTGAGGTGCAATACACAACAACATTTCACAAAACCCAACAAAGCAGATAACAACATCATTTCACAAAACAACAATTTAAACTGCAGTTTGTCTTCATACATAGTGTAAATGTTGAAATCAGTCTGGTGATGAGAAACATCTGCTACTTCTCTTGGCACAGTGTCCCTGCTTTCTTATTCCTATGTGCAGTTATGACCATAGAGGCTAATTCATATATTTAAAGCTACTTTAGCTCATTTCTTTGCAGCCTAGAGGGTCTAGTGAGCGTGAAAATAAACTGACACCATAAGCCACTCCTAGTCACTCTTATCCCCTCCCATCATGTCCTGTTTCCTAGCAACAATGTAAACTACGGATGCCTGGTTGCAACAACTGTACAAAATGCAGCCTCCCATCCAAAACTAGTGTTAGGTGACAAGTAAGTTTGTAAGTCCAGCAGAACACTCTGGTTATTGCTAATGTGACATAAAGTTATACAGGGCTAATTTATGGACCGTATTTTGACAACTCAGGATAGTGAAGGTGTAATAACAACAGAAGGGTTGCTGATGGCAGACTGCCATGGAGGGGGGTAGTAAAGCTGAAAAACACCACATCCTGTCCCATTGTCACTTGATTTATCAGAAAATATGTAGTCAATGCACCTTAAAACTCTGTCGTTAAACTGCTCGTCTGCATATCTGAAAAGGTGCATTACGTATTCAACCATTAATGCCGCGTTGTGTTTTCTGAAATTTTGTTGTGTTCTCTGTTGTTGTTGTTTTGTCAGATGTTAATGTTCTCACTTTATGTATATTGCCTCTGTTTGTGCCCATGTGCTCTATCAGTGTTTCTTCATACCCCATTTTCCTTTTTATAGGTTGATGCTCATAATATCGTTCCCTGCTGGGTGGCATCACCTAAACTCGAGTACTCGGCCAGGACTATCAGAGGCAAAATTACCAGTCTTTTGCCAGAGTTCTTCACTGATTTTCCTGTGGTAGAGAAGCATCCTTACACAGCTACAAGGACTGCAAAGGTAAGTGCTGCAGTAACAGTGACGGGCACATTTATATTGCTGTGGATTAAGGTTTATATGCTATTCTGAGGTGGGAAAAAGAGGTCATACATGTATGTTTTATGTCACATTAAAGGACTTTTGGATTGGACAAGACTATCATAATTTGTCTTTTTGAAAAAAGTATTTCTTTAGAAGTGTTTGCTAAGCTCAGTACAAGGCAATGTGAGCTCAGTGATGGGGCACTTTAAGTCCGACTGTAGTAACCTTCAGCTTCCTCTTTTTCTCTGCACATTATTTATTTATGAGTATTGTAAACAGAAAAGTTTTTTGACTTTACAAAAGTTTACATTTCCTTCCCTGCACTAGATATTAAATTTGCACGCCGTGTTTTCACTGCAGTGCTGTAATTGTTATGCCCTTCACTGGTTTGAGCCTCCTTGTAGTGTGAGGTGAAAGGCTCAGTACTTATTCACTGCTTTTGAAGTTTGCAGTTCTTGAAAACATCAAAGTGTGTGTTTTAGCTCATCACTGTCAGCTGTGACCTCTGCTGATTTATTTTTCTGCTCTTTTCTCCTTTCTTCACCTCACAGTCAATAGACTGGGACAAAACCCTGGCCTCTCTGCATGTCGACAGAACGGTAGGAGAGCCAGAGTGGGCTAAGCCAGGCGCCAAAGCAGGGATGGCCATGCTGGAGTCATTTATTGATGCACGCCTTAAACTGTTTGGCACCAAACGCAATGACCCAAATGCTGCCGCCCTCAGCCAGCTCTCCCCCTGGATCCGCTTTGGTCAGTAATATCATGAATACATTGCGGTTATGAATGCAGTAAATGTCATGGGAGAAAATAAGGTTTGTTTTATAAAAATCTGCAGCAACACAAAGAGGTGATAAATCCTTCTTTATCACCTGTTTGACACAAATTCATTTTACACCTGTGATCTAGAACAACTGTTGTCCTATATCTGAGCTTGCCTGTCTCTCTAAACTCCTGTGAACAACTCTACATAAAGAAAATAAAGTTCCTCAGCCACAGCACAATAACTGCTACATGTACTGTTGCTGATGTCACTGTTAACTCGCTCAATAAATCATTAAACTGTTCACCATACAGTCTATGTTGGATTATGAAGATATCCTGTAAGCTAATGCTGCTGCCACTACCATTAAAACACGGTGCCATTTACCACACTGCCAGTCAAGTCATTACACGACTACTGCACTCATCACTGTGACTATAAAAGTCAGATGCTCATCACTGACATCCAGAATGCATCAGTAAATCTGTCTCGTCACCTGTAAGGCCCTGATCTCTTAAGTTGCTGAGATACTGTATCAATTGACTTCAAAGTGAACAACCATGACACCTGATGACAGGATAGGTCTGCTTTAAAAGTTCCTCGTACCAGCTCTGAACCTTCTTGTCATTGCCGACTTATTCTGTTCACCTTTTGTCTACCACTGGTCTTATCCATCTCTTCTCCCTTCCATCAGGCCAGATATCAGCCCAGCGTGTGGCACTGCAAGTTAATCATAGTGGGAAGAACAGCAACACTCGTCAGACCGTTGCCTCCTTTATTGAGGAGGTTGTGGTGCGCAGGGAGCTGACTGACAACTTCTGCTTCTACAACAAGAACTATGACAGTATCGAGGGTCAGTTGAGATCTCATTACATTGCATCTTGTTCTTGCTGTTGTCATAAATGTACTTTGTGTTCTGTAAAATCTTGATGTTACCTGTGTTTGGCACTCAGGTGCATAAATAAATGTACTTTGTGTTCAGTAAAATCTTGATGTATTACCTGTGTTTGGCACTCAGGTGCATACGAGTGGGCTCAGAAGACCTTGAGAGATCATGCCAAGGACAAAAGGCCGTATCTCTACACACGTCAGCAGCTGGAGAATGCAAAGACGTACGACAAACTGTGGAACGCAGCTCAGGTACAACATTTAGTTCAAAACACAACAGGTCTCATTGTGTGTTTTTGGTGCAAACACATTTACTATCTAGTCTGTGTTGTGCTTTGTTTCTTATGTCTATGTTTATTACATTGCTCCATTAGTGCCAGATGGTCACTGAGGGGAAAATGCATGGTTACTTGCGGATGTACTGGGCCAAAAAGATTCTTGAGTGGACCTCATCACCAGAGGACGCACTCTCCATCGCCCTGTACCTAAATGATCGTTATGAGCTGGATGGCCAGGATCCTAATGGCTTCGTCGGTGAGGATGTGAATTCTCCTCAATTGAGCAAAAATGTCAGTGATTTACTGAATTATTTCTCTCACATATTTTTCTCACCTTCTCTCTTTTTTTCCACCCTTCAGGTTGTATGTGGTCTATTTGTGGCATCCATGACCAGGGCTGGAGAGAGAGACCTGTTTTTGGAAAGATCCGCTACATGAACTACAAAGGCTGTGCCAGGAAGTTTGACGTAGCACAATTTGAGAGAAACTACTGCCCTAAAAACCTCTGAAGCATAAAAGGTTTTCAAGGCCGTGAAAAAATTCTTGACAGTCTACACTTTTACCTCTGGGATCGTTGGTACAGGGTCTCTAGGAAGTGATAGTCTTTACTTTGTTTTTTGCTGCTTTATTTTGTATTATCTCACACTTTTTAAATTTTACTTCCTTTTAATGGAAGTAAATCCTTGCAAAAACATTTGAGGGGGCACTAACCACCTTTCAAGCACTATTCAGTTTGTAACGCAGCATGTGAGCATGTGCAGGCATAGATTTGTAAGCACAGAATCAGATTTGAGAGCGTAGTCACGGCCATGCATTGCACTTGTTTCTTAATCTGCTTTCAGATCTCTCCACTGTTTTGTGTGAAAATCTGTCCATTCCAAAAGGTTTGAAAGTGCAAGAAAACAGTTTCAAGTGGTAGTCAATTTGCAAACCAGAATTTATGAGTGCAGAGGCACAGATTTTTAAGAACAGGTTCAGATTTTAGAACAAGGGAGCATCCCTGCTCCTCACTCAAATGATCTGTTACGCTAACAATTCTGTCCTCCCTTGCTTTCAAATCTGCCCATGCACTCTCTGATTGTGACCTGCAAAATGAAAGGTGCTTGAAATTTGTTTTGGCGCCAACATTTACAAATCAGTGTTTGCATAATCTCAAATGTTAAATTACAAACTGAGTAATGTTCAAAATGTGGGTAATGTGCCCTCAAACATTTCGGCCAGGATTTACTTCCCTATCATTTATCAGGATATGCAGGATATGGTGCCTTTAAATAAATCTCTTTATGTAACAGCCCTGTAAAGGGGGTATTTATGTAAGACATACATGGACACAGACTTTTCTCAGATTATGTGTGTAATGACTGAAGTGAGGGAACAATGTGTCCTTTTGCATATCTTAACAGCTCTAGTCTCCCCCTGCTGGAATCCTCCAGTAACTACACCCACCTAGCCACATGTTACAGTATAGCCACACAGTACTGTTACCTACAAGCCACTGTGACAAATCAGTGACTTTCAAAATAACCAAATCAGCAAACAGATGTTTAAATACAGGTCAGCATAAACTATCGACAAATGGATGACAGAACTAATTATATTAGAGAAACTTGTATGTCCTTTAATCTAAATAAGTGAAAAGGCCAAATATGTGCTGGGGTATATTACAGCTGCAACTGTGGTTTTATTGAGTAATAATGTAGTTAAACACAAACAAAGTTCACTTCTACTCAGCCTAATTAACTGCACCCTCAGTGGTGAGAAAAACGTCTCTACAGGTAAGCGTACACTTAACATGGTTCCACATATTACAATGTAAAGCCTTTATCCGTGGGCTCTTTTGCTAGCTTATTTTAGGGGAGATGTTCTAATTAGTTGAAACCAGTCAGCATACGGTTATAGGCAATAAGAATATAATGTAAATATATTTTACAGTAATTTATTGGGCTGAGGTCCTCAGCACAGTTTGTCATACTGGCTATTTGCCTTTACTTGTTGTTGATCAAAATGACTGGATGAGAAACAGGACTGATTCCTTTTTATAGACCAGAACTGAGTTTTCAAAAGTGAGTTATTTTCCTAGAGGAAATAAGGATACACATCACACATTATGTTAAATACAAAGCTATCATGTTGGAGTGCTGTTAGGGTGATTTTTATTTTTTAAGTAGATATGAATAGAATTAGTTAAGGTTTTTATTTTATAGCATACATAAGTCTATATGCTTTAATCCTACAGTTATGTTCATGTAGTTACATATCACCCTATGTGTTCACTAAATCACTGGTCAATATTTACTGTGTTAGCCAACTGGAGCACTGTTTAACATCAAAGGGACTGGTTCACTAAAACACTGAATCTCATTAGATTTACAGCTTTGGCAAAGAGGGTCCACAGTTAATTTAGTATCACCACCTGGCTGAAGAGGCCAGGGAATTAGAGTTCACTGGGACACTATGGTCAGTAAACAGAGATTAGATCTGAAGCCAGGAACAGGAGAAAACTTCAAAGGTAGAACCATTACACACACACACACACAGGCAGAGCAGTTTTAATTAGTGAAACCGGAAAGTAATGCCTAACATGGAGCAGTTAGTTGGAAACAAAGGAAGAAGTAAGTGTGCATGTAGGAATTAAGGCAGTATGGGTATTCCTCCCCTTTTTAGGGGGCTGTCCACGACCATTGGAGCAGAGAGGATGATTGGAGGATGGATGGACTGAAGGACCAATAACGGGAGAGTTAAGTCTAAACCACGGCTTCTCCCCAACAGTTTTTGACCAATTAGATAGTAACACCTTTTCATACAAATATTGTATACCGACAAGTTGAGGACAGCCTTTTCTGTTTATCCTAAACAGTGAAGATCCATGTGCACATGCTTATTTTGATACGTTAATGCATAATAAATTTCACATAGTGAAATATATATCTTTTTATTAGTCTTCTCTTTTCAAAAGAAAAATAACTCTCCCCACAGTGCCCCCCTTAACCAGAACAACCTATTATTAGAACAACTTGATATTCGAGAAGAAGATCATAGCAGAATGACAAAAAGCTTTCTGAATACACAGTCACAGACCTTGATAGTAGTATAATGTGTGGCTGAATCTTTTGTTGTTTCACAAAGCTGTAGACAAAAAAAGAGAGAGATTACCATTCCTCCAAGGGACTCGGGTGCTTTATTCTGTGTGGTTTTCATACCTATAAAATATGACCATGACTGTACATAGGAAACATGTTTTGTCCTTGCCCTGAATGAAAGTCAGCTTTTCCAAATTAAAAGTGCAAAACTAGAAATGTATTTTCATATTAAATGTCCACCTTTCACAGTTTTGTGTATCTCTGACCAGAAATGTCTTATTATTGAACATTCACAAGATATATGGCAGCATTTGGCATCCTGGATCCCACACACTCTCCAGCACTGTGAGTCCCCTCCTCTAAAGTGTGCTGTCTGCTTCAGTGTAATAAAAAAAAAATCTAATGAGATACTTCTATCCAATTTTTCACCATGTATATGAGTCGGTGCGCTTCAAGCGAATGTCACAATGGCTATACCAGTCCTCCGCTGAAATCTTAGTTATCTTCATTTTCCCATTTAATTCTAACATATTCAATGGAACGAGTTTTTTTTTCCCCCACAGGATACTAGCAGTGTTGGGGAAACTGCTTTGAAAATATAACTTTGCAAACTATCAATTACTTCACACTGGAACAAGTTAAACTACAGCAAAACTACTTTAGAGAGAAATGTAGTTTGGTAAAGTTACTTAGAACAAAGTAGTTCAAACTACTTTTTTACAGGATAGTTTTGAGCGCACTGACTGGGGGTGTTCAAAGAGGGCTCAGACCTGGAGGCTTATACATCAGCTGTTCTGGACTATGTGCAGTTCTGTACTGATGCTGTTCTACCTACAAAGTCCATCAGGGTTTTTCCAAACCAGAAACCATGGTTGGACAGTACAGTGTCACGTCTGCTCAAAGCTCAGGACGCTGCCTTCAGATCAGGTGACAGGCTGGCCTATAGCAGGGCCCGGAAAGAACTAAAGAAGGGCATCCAGCTGGCCAAACGCAGGTACAAACAGCGCATTGAGGGGCACTTCATGAATAACAACACACAGAGTATGTGGAGAGGCATCAAAACAATAACAG